AACACACACAAACATACACACACACACACACACACACACACACACACACACACACACACACACACACACACACATATATACACACACACACAGATATTATATATATTAATAATTAAAAATTTAAATATACCTTTGGTTTTGCAAACCAGAATTTTTGTAAAAGTAATATTTTTCACCATGCTTGGCAGGACACGAGTACTTTGGAAAATCCCATAATTGCTTCAAACGATCATGAATATCGTCGCGAGCTTTACACGCAGTTAGATACGGTTTAGTAATAGCGTTTTGAGCATCAACAAAAGCTTTTGTTTCTGGTGAGTCTGGATCTTCCAGCCATCTATAAGGATCACTTATCTACAAACAAAATACTGACTTTTATGATATTTATATAACTCTTTATATAACATTCAAATGCATCTTTACTCTTATAAAATCTTCTGTGATCGCTATTATATTTATTATTATTATTATATGTATAAAATGTATCTTATTTTAAAAAATATATTTAAAATATTAATATATAATTCATCTCTTCCTTAAGTAACTATAGTATTAAAAACATAACTGTATACTAAAACTTAATTCTCCATCTGCAATCTTTTTTTTGACACAAGCAAAATTTGACTCAAATTTCACTCTCATCTTTGCTCAAATTTCAATTTTTATTAAATAAACATTTTGATTAAAAATTATTTGATAATATAATATAGAGAATATAATAGAAAATTGAAAAGTAATTGAATTTTTCCAAAATTTTGAAAGTTTAGAACAATGAAAAAAACTTAAGCTGGACCAAAAAGATTGCAGAGTATAAAATATATATCTATAGATTAAAATATTAAATTTATGTTCATTATACAAGATATTTCAGGATTTAACAAGCAAATGGCAGGATTCAAATATTCTACAAGTACACAGTATTCTACAAGTGAAAATAAGAAATGTTAAACTTATATACAAATATTAAAACTGGACAAGGATTTTCCATTATATGAGAATAATACACAGAATATGGAAGCAAAAATCGAACGTATTTATCTTGTGTACATATTCACATCATATTTACTATTTCTGTATGTGAATATAATATTTGTTTAATATCATATTCAAAATAACAATTACGCTTGAAAAGAATAATTGTTAGATTCCCACAGTCACAAAATAGTAACTGCTATCAAAATGCCAATGTTTTATCAAAATGCATCAAAATGTTCCGTTTCAATATTTGTAATTTCATAATAAAACATTTCTAGTCAAATTCTTTTTTTTTTCTTATTTTGTTCCTGTAGTTTATCCATTAAATCCTGAAATACTTACACTTGTTCTTTTTCCATATCTCTGACTTAACTTCTTACACGATTCATCTTTAATTTTTTTTCTCTAAAAAAGAAAAAAATGAACCAAGAAGTTCAATTCTGGAGTATTGAAAAAGAACAGGCTTCGTATCTCTTTTCACAATTTTTGCATAAAGACTAATTGTTGTATTTGATAACAAAATTTAATGTTCATCGAAATACCGTCAAGATTCAAAACACATTAACATTGAGTTAAATATTAATATACGTCATTAATCCTGCAATCACTCCTTTCATCTGCAATCTTTTTGTCCAATCCAAGTTCTAATTTTCAAAAAAATTAAAGATTGCTCTTCAACGTTTCTATTCATTACCAAATAGTTTTTCAACTTAAATGTTAAAATCCTTATTTAATAAAAAAATTGAAATTTGAGCAAAAATGAGGGTGAAATTTGAGAATGAAATCTCGTTTGTGCCAAAAAAAATCCACAGAATTGATTTAGTATTTTGAAAGATGAAAATTACAAATTTAGATGTTGATTAATAAAATTATAAATATTTTAGTATTATAAATTCATTCGCTTTTGCAATTTTCATCTCATTTTAAGATTTATATAATCGATCCCCAGATTGCAGACGGAGAGTAAGTGTTAAATATCTTATCATGAAAACTAGATATAGACATTCTTTGATTTGAAATTAACGAAACTCTACATGCATCCTAACCTTAACGCCGTGATAATCATCGACGACACTCTCATCCCTGCGCGCCTCAGGATACTGTATTCTTGTATCCATAATTTTCGATCGAACTGCGTCTTTCTGTGTACAATAAAATGTCGCTTAAGTGAGACAGAAAAAAACCTTATTTGATGATATTCGCGCACGTGTAAAATCTCTTTTCATATATGCCGACTGTCACCAATGCCAATTATCATCCACAGAGTCCCCACAAATTTCTATATATAAGTACACTATACTATACTAGAGTACTAAACTGTACTAAACTCACACTCAACTAGACCACTAGACTAGACCGCTAACGGCGCTAATGGTAATAATGGCGCTAATTTGCCTCAAACACTGGATCACGTGATCCGGACTGACCCGCTCCAGTTCAGCGTTCGATTTGACGTCGTGCTGTTAAAAATAAGATCCGATAAAGTTCAACTCAGAGACGACGATCCCAGACGGTACGATGCGTCGTGGAAAGATGACTGATTTCGGTACTGTCGCGAATTTATGTGAATTTATGTGACCTTCGTTCCTCAGGAAGGTGCGGCGCAAGAAAAAAAAAGTCGTCAATCAAGATCACGTGATTGTCAGTGACGTTTAATCGCGCGCAGTAATCGCGCACAGATTAATGCGCGCATACAAAGAAGAGAAATCTCGTTGCTCGTACGACAGCACGGCGAATCTGGTCACGAATAACATGAATTCTCACTGGTGTAGTTGTGGACGTCACCCAACGTGCTGCTTGCAAATTCACGTGATTGTCAACATGCCACCGAGGACCACCGGACCTTTGAAGTGTTTTCCATTGGAATCCGTTAAACAAACGTATTACCGCGCGCATCGTCCTCTCGTCGCTCGGCGCCGCGCGACGTCGCGCCTCGACGACGAATCGGACGAATGCGGAAGGACACGTCTTCCTCGGCTTCATTTTCGCGGAGCGAGGCGGCACATTTGAGCTCTTAATCCTTTACTCTCTGAAATGTTTACCTGAATTGTCACTCTGAATGTTCCAAAATTTAACCCTGTCACAGAGTATCATCTTATACTACTTAGGTATTGTTTTTTATTTCTGCATTAGACTGCATTAGATGCTCTCTTTTTCGCTTTCGCCAAATATTAAACATGTATCTAAATCCAAAAGTGTACACTAGTTTAGCCACAAAAAACAGACCTGTTGTTCACAGAGTGTTAAAGGATGATACTCGGAGTTGACAGAGTCGAGTTTTGGAATGCACTCCTGAAGAATAGAATTTCACTTTTAAAGATTGAAAATTGAATTCTTTTTCATTCTTTAGAGTAAGGCTTTACTCTAAAGAATATAGAGAGTGATTTTAATGCGTCTTATATGTATATGTGAAATAAATTTGGTATAAAAAATAGAAGTAAGAAATTGACCAATCGCAGTCGATTATTTTTCTCACATTCAACTGTAATTAATCAATCTTTTACTTTTACTTGTTATACCAAGCTTGCTGTGCATATTGTAGACGATACATTAAGTTTATACTTGCGAAGCTTTTTGTTTCTTTTTTTTCGTAGAAATAAATGTCCTTTTTCTTCATAAATCTTAGATTTATTTATTACGTATAATAAAAGTATATGTGTATTAAATCTTTAAGACGTAATATTAGTTTTGAAATTACTTTGCATTAACAGACAATTGTATTTAGCTATCTTGAGTTCTTACTGTTGGTAATAACTAAAATTTACAACATATATAAAAAATGACAAATGAAGAAACAAAGAACTACTTTTATAGGAATATTCTGCGTGTAATTATATAATAGCTTTCTGTAAAACAAAATGTAATTCGAACAAATTGTAATTCGAACCAACAAGAAATACGAGCAAAAACGAATTCTGATCATATGACTCGGAATTCTGGTAATCATAATTGAATTTCTGATTATTTCGATTAGAATACTTGATAGATTTAATTACAAGTATCTGATTTGTATCTTTCTGATTGAACCTACGAGAATTCCAATTAATGTACAATGAGCCTTTTTCTCTAATAAGAAATTATTTAATTCTGTTTTAAAACTATTATTAATAAAATCTATCAATTATTAATTATTAACTATTACTTTGTTAATTATTGAATAAAATTATTCTTTTATTAATTACTTACAACGTAGATGATAGTAATAATACTAATTATAGTTTTTCAGCACAGTAAAATCTTTCTCATGTAATGTCTGATTGAGCATCGAATTATTAAAAATTGCTTGTCAATTTAATTTAATTTATGATATTATTGCAGTAGTTTAATTACATTTATAAGTTTAGAAAATTCAATCAGCGCGCAATTCGAATGAACTACAAATATGGTATATGTATGTACATACATTATATAAAATTCACATTGAATTATTTAAGCAAGATCGACTGTTATAGGCATTTAATTTTTAGTTTATCGATTAACACATGTTCTATATCGTTCTCACATATACGGTCTAAAATAAGATTCTTATTTATACTAATTAGAATTTCATTGCTTAACCGGATATCGTAATGGACATAATGGACTAACACAAGGAAAAAATATCAATGGAAGAATTAATAAAGTAATTGGTGTTACTATCAACTTAATATTCTTGTCAATGTGACCACAAATAAAATGTCTCGGTTTTCGTGTTGGTTAATTAGGTTAATACATGCAATCAGTTGGTTTTTTTTAATACATGTCCTCTCTAAAGCCTGTATAATTACGACTTATAAATCACGTCGGATCTTAAAATAAATTTCTACTTACAGTTTCATATGCCGCGTATCTTGGCGTATCTTGACGTATATGTGCTTTTTATGTATGTATGTATTTTCTGATTCTTCAAATTTTTTCGCGTATTAATGCGCACGCGGCATGCAACATTATAAGCAGAAACTACGTTTCGTTGCATAATGCGCATGATGCGTACCATTTTATTCTTATTTAATATATATTCTGTGAATAACAAGGATCAAATGATATCTCATGCGTATTGTGCGTGCAACGAAACACAATCCAAATATTATTCTAAAACCCGTATCACACTATACGTGAAATTGAGGATTATGAATTAGAGATTAGAATTTGACCAATCCGAAAATTATAATTTTAATCTGTTTCATTCTGGTTGGCTGAATTTTACTCTCTATTATCTCTAATTCGCAATCTTCAATCTTCAATGCCATAGTGTGACACGGACTTAAAGAATTGTGTCCTCGATGCGACAAATTGCTTCAAGATTTCAGACGAAGACGAAATTGGTCAATTGCATTGATCAATTGTTCGAATTGTTTAAATGATTTTAATGTTTTTCCCATCCAAGATTTTATATCGATTTCTAACATCGTGGATACAAGACTTGATATACGATTGTCTAGTCTAAATTTAATAATGAATAATTATAACACGCATATATCGCGGAGCAAACCGGGATGTTTCTATAAGATCCCACAATTCATCAAAATTCAAATAAATTCAATAAAAAAGAAAATCGAATAGTCAATTACGAACAGATTACAGATCATATTATAAAAATAAATAAATAAATAAATATTTATCTCATTCCATGGTGAAGCAAAGGAATAATGAAAAAATTAATGAAATCTATTTGTACACGTGTTTCTATATTAAGTCAAGAATCTCTTATTTGTATGATGATCGATAATTATCAAGAGATCTTTGATGTAATGTAGAACACTTATATATCTTGTATGTAGTATTTTATATCTTACTACACATATCTCAAAAACTTTAAAAAAACTTTAAAATCCTTATCCATTTGATATGATTACAATTCCTCACACTGAAAAAATTTTTCTAAATGCAAGTAATTTTTTTCTTGAATAGTTCCAAGTAAACATTTCTTTGCTGCAAATAAATATTTATTAAATATCAACAAGTATTATATGTTCACATTTAGTATAAATATTTATTTGCGCAATAAAGAAATATTTATTTAGAACTATTTTAGAAAAAAATTACTTAGATTTAGATAATTTTTTTTCAGTGTAGATATCAAGGACTTTTACTTTTTATTGGACGACATTTGAGATTTTGGACACAACAATTTCTCGCTCCTCAACGAGTTATACGTTATTGTATGTTTGTTTGTTTATTATATATTATATTTTTTAATGAATTATATGCTTGTTTATATCTGGATTTTAATTATAGAAAATTCGCAACTTATCCACATTAAGCTAAGAATTTCGGATGTTTTATCTAACTTTGGTTATGATCTTTTTGACCTTTGTTTTTTCATTATAATTTAACGTTTATTAAAAACACGTATAATCAGCTCTTGAGATGGGCTCTTGAGATATGTTAAACAAATAATAAATAAAGAAAAAACGATTTTATTATGTAAGATTGTTCGAATTGAACTGAAACGTACAATTTTTATATTTATGTAAGATTGAAATATATGTTACTACTCATAATTTAATCACCGCATTTTAATTACCGCATATTAAGGCTCTTAATTGCTCGTTTTTTCTTTATTTATTATTAGTATTTATTATTGGTCGGCGTTCTTATAATTATATGATATTATTTATAATTATATTGTTGCGTCTTCAAGAAATGAATTTATTTTTCGTTTAGAAATTTTTATTTAATTTTAATTTGTTTGCTGAAGGACAATCAAAACGTACATTTGTTTAGATTTCATTTGTTCCATTATTTTTTTGCGCTTTATCATCGCATGAAATGAGAATAAATTGTTCAGCAGATAATACAGCTTTGCAATTGTCAAATTTTTTTAATACGATTGATCTGGTCCTCAGTTTCTCACCGAATCTAAATATATAAACCAATCATATTAAAGACTTTTACAACTGTAAAGCTGCTTTCTCTGCTATAATACGGCTATAATACGGCTAATGTTTGTTTTATACAGCAACATGATCTTTAATCTGCTCGTAATTAACCATACGATTTTCCTTATTTGTGATTTGCATTTAACAAGTCTTATCACAATTTGATCATTTATCAAAAACTATTCTGATTATTCTGATAATATTTTTATCTCTAGCTTCTGGATCGGAGCAGCATTTATAATGTTAGAAACAAAAATTTTTTTCAAGTATATGTTAAGTCAGTCGCAATATTTCTATTTGCGACCAAAAATCTGAATGCGTTAATCATCTCCTTTTTTAATTATATATCTTCATTATGCGAAGAAAGTTACATAGTGCAACCGAATTAAAACAAGTGGATGCATAACTATAATAACATCACTACTTCGTAGAAGAAATAGCAATATTTTTTATCATTAATTATTTAGCGACATCGCGATAATTATCAAGAAATCGTACTTTGACTCGCGAAGGAATTTTTTTCCCTTTTTTTTTCTTTTGCGCATGTGACGTTGAACTATATAAGTTCAACATCAACATTGCTATTCATGGGGGGCAGTAGAGCGAGGGACGCGGTATCTTCTTATCAGTAGGCTTCAATTGCCCCCCCCCCTCTCTCTCTCTCTCTCTCTCTCTCTCATTAAGCATGATAGTAATTGCCACGTGAACGAGATTTTTCACGAGGCGGTACAATGCACCATGTTGCGAATGAACGCAGTGTCGTAGATATATAGGCAGCAAGTAATTTATTGTCACAAATACATAAATAAGGGGAAGCGCGAAAATAAAGAAAAAAATTGTCTCAATCCTCAAAACCTCATCTACATATAATGTGATAATTAATTATGTATAATATATTATACGCTGTTTTTGATTCCCCCTTCATCATTTCTTTTATTATCGGATGTTTACCAGAATAAAATATACATGTAATTATTTTCTAAAAATAAGTTTCGAGACAAGAAATAGATTTGCGATATACATATAGTGCGTATGAAAGACTGTGGTACAAATTCCTTTTTCGCTTATTTTATTTCTTTAATATTATTATTTACATTTCATATAGTTTAACGTATTGTAAATATAGCTTTAGTATCTGGGATATATAGTCTACAATGTATTGGGATAGATTGAAAATATTTTTTATCTTCCTATATATGTTAGATGCACATCGGAGTTATAAATTCAACAATATAAATGTAATATAATACATGGTGTTACACAACATATTGCTGAGTGCGAAATTATACATTGATGTCATGTTATTTTTAATTGATGTCTAGATATGATACTTATTAGATTTTGAGTAAATCGAGGGTTAGAAATAAAATTCTTTTTCTCATTTTTTCTCTCTCATCAAGGTCAGTTTAAATATTAAAATTAAGTTAGATAAATACTAGATTAGAGCGGTATTCATGGCCGATTTCTCAATAAACAAGAAATTTCAAGAAAGCGAATTAGGATTGCGCTAATACATGTCAAA